CAGTAAAACAATAAAAGAGAAACCCAACTAAAAAGAAAATATTAGATCTAAACAGAAGTAACCCGCAATTTTATCTGAAAAACATTCCCATAAAGACATCTGTGCAGCTGACATAGACTTTTATCTGTCTAATTTAGACCAAGAAGTAAAAAGATCTTTTTAAAAGATGCCATTTGGGACTTATGGGAGAAAAAAATCGAGAGACTTAGAAGCCCTTAATAATAAGATGAACATGTAGTTCTATCCAGAAGTTAATGAAAAAGTGATTGGATCTTCTAGGATAAGAAAAACAAGAATGTCATGATTCAAATATGAAACAAACTAAGATGTGACATGTGATGAAGTGGAAAGGGAGGTAATCTATTTGATCTTAATGCCTGGAAATTCCATGTTAAGTAGCATAGATTTAAGAGGCTAGAATTATGCCTCAATTTCTGAGTTCAGTCCTTTAATTCTTTGGGGAACAACATTTGGATCATTGAAATGTAAAGGACTAATGATTTTCAGTGTTTTCAAATCACTTTAGTAATATTCCAGAAGAATATGTGCCTAATTTGAACATTGATAAAAGAGTTTGCAGCTACGGAAAAAAAGGAAAGAAGTGGAAGCAGAGAAGTGTTATTATTTCTTCATCTAATGTACTGGATAATCAGCATGTACTACTTAATTTTGTTGGATCAAAACTAGTAGATCAAAATTTTCCTAGTTAAAATTATAAAGGTAACTACTAACAGAACTAAAATAAAAATAGGAGATAGGTGACAGAAAGGGAAACTGAAGTTGTATAAGTAGGATAATAATTTCATATCAGGAAATAAACATATATTTAAAAATTACCAATCAGTAGATATCAGAAATGTTATTTATAATAATGATAAAGACTATCAAACAATTAGAAAGGGTTAAAAAGGTTTACATTTCAAGAATAGAGGAGGAAGTAGGATTAGGGATGAAAAATCTATCTTTTTTAACATTATGCCTTCTTTTGGTTACGATTTATAAATACGAGAAGCAAACAAGATATTAAGGAGCTCCAACAGGTTAGTGTTAAAACTCCTGTGTCCAAGGTGTTTTCAAATATAAGTAGCAGAAACTTTGACTCAGTGGCTTAAACTTGACTCATAGTGGCCTTTATTATGCAATTAATTCAAACTCCCAAGGGAGGGTGTATGTTTTAATTGGTTGTTTCAGGTTGTTTTAGTAGCTCAGTCACATCATGGGTATTATACTTTCTTTACTAGTAAATATTGTAATGTTCTCTGAAGTTTGGACTTGCCCTTAGCAACAAAAGGGCTGTAGGTGTCCCAGGAATTCTACCCAAAAATGGCAATACCTAGGAAGAAGAGGTATTTCATCTTCTCATAAGTTCTTCTCAGGAGTGAGAAAATATCTCTCAAAAGTTTTCCTTTTTTCTCACTGGCCATAATTGGGTCAAATACTCTTCCCTATGTGGATAAATAACAAAGATATTGCTACTACCCTGATTTGCTTAGAAAAAGTATCATCTGAGAATAAGGCCACTTTCCTTTGGAACCTAAAAATGTAGAGTAAGAAGTCCTTTAACAGAACCATTATTCTAACAGAAATAAAAGCAACCAAATGGATGCTGAGTAAGCAAGCTAATGTGTTCTCAGGTGCTCTAAGCAGAATTATTGGTGCAGTAGAGACTAAAAGACTCATAAGTTTTAATCCATATTCCCAAATCACCTGCTAATCTGAGTCTGAATTTCTTCACCCATGAGATTAGAATGATTAGCTAGGTTGGAGGTTCTCATGCTCTAGCATACATCAGAATCACCTGGAAGGTTCGTTCCAACACAGATTGTAGGTTACCAACCTCGGAGTTTCTGATTCAGTAAATCTGGGTGTTTAAAAGTTTGCATTTCTCACAGATTCCCAGGCAATGATGATGTTGCTGGTCTGGGAACTACACACTGAGAACCGTTGACCTAGGTGATATTCTTTGTGAAGGCTCATCTCAGAATCCCTGGTAACTAGCTTAGTGACTGAAAATTAACAGGTCCAGTATTATCATTATTTGAGATGGAGTCTCACTCTGTCACCCAGGTTGGAGTGCAGTGGCGCCATCTTGGCTCACTGCAACCTCCATCATCCGGGTTCAAGTGATTCTCTTGCCTTAGCCTCCCAAGTAACTGGTACTCCAAGCCACCATGCCTAGCTGATTTTTTGTTTGTTTGTTTTGGTATTTTTTTTGTAAAGATGGGGTTTCACCATGTTGGCCAGGCTGGTCTCAAAGTCCTGACCTCAGGTGATCCAACCGCCTCAGCCTCCTGAAGGGCTGGGATTACAGGCATGAGTCACCCACTGTACCTGGCCCAGAATTACATTATTTAAAAAAGAAACTACATATATATATGTGTGTGCGTGTGTGTGTGTGTGTGTGTGTGTGTACATATATATACATACATATATTTTGTTTCTAGCATTCAGTAAATTTCTCTAGATCTAGATTTATCACAACTACAAATTCTATTTTTCTTTCCAATTAAAAATTTACTGTTGCCTACTTTCCCTGAATAATCTTGCACTATTAAAATAATTTGATACTGATTAATTCCCTGGTTTGATCTTTATTCACCTGCCTGCCTGCATTATGCAAGTGCAACAATATGTCTGACTTGGTTTTTTAATATTTTAGAAATCAAGCACTTAATACTAACACAATTCTACAACCTGAGTTACTCCAATCCTGTTTTGTGGTGACCAACATGTAGCCAAAAGCCTGTTACTATGCCTCAGGTTTCTTGCTGTGGGGAATTATTTCCTAAGCTTATTTGACTACAGAACACATTTAAACATTGGCAGAATATCAAGCAAAGCTCATGAGATGTAAGGTTCATTTGGAGTAAAATGGACAAATAAATGATCTCACAGATGAATTCTCTGCTATAAGAAATAACTGAGCTCTGATTTATATGCTTTTTAAGAAACATAGAAATAATTTCAAACAATTAAGTCATTAATTATGATCAAAAGAACAAAATAAAATAATTCATTTTATATGTTGATATGAAAACGAATACAAAGAACATTTTAATGAGACCAGCCCTTTTAAGTGATTTCTTTCTTTATGGTTAATACTATGAATCATTTTATTGAATTATGTTTTTGTACTGGACAAAACATTGTGGTTTTGGGGGATGATTTATTTCCACTTTAGTGCTGTATGACAATCTTGTTTGCAGAGATCTAGCCCATCAGAAATAGTAAAACAGGCTATGGTTAACAGTGGAACACCTTTGAATTAGGGTATTGCAGAAACTATGTACTAATTTCTGTTAAACCACTTGGCTTCTGAGATTTTGAAAACCAGTCTTTAATTGTTAATCTTTCCTTGATTTATTCCATTCAATGCCAAGAAACTGTTTTGTATCTAAAACTTTTATTTATTTATTTGTTTATTTATTTATTTATATAGTGAGAGAGGATCTTGCTCTGTCAGCTAGGATGGAGTGCAGCGGCATGATTTCAGCTCACTGCAACCTCTGCCTCATGGGTTCAAGCCATCCTCCCACCTCAGCCTCCTGAGTAGCTTGGACCAAAAGTATGTACCACCACACCAAACTAATTTCTTTCTCTCTCTTTTTTTTTTTTTAGCATTTTTTTGTGAAGATGGGCTTTCATTACATTGGTCAGGCTGGCCTTGAACTCCTGAGATCAAGCTATCTACCTGCCTCGGCCTCCCAAAGTGCTGGGATTATAGGTGTGAGCCATTGCACCTGGCTAAAACTTCTTTTTACAACTGCAGATTTTTGTGTCTTACAAATATTAGACTTTGAATAATATTGAATAACAAATATATATTAAAATTATAAACTAAGACATACTATAGACTGCTAATCATTAAAACAAAGACAAATCAGGGAATTGCTTCTTTGATGAATGATGCTTAAAAATTAATTAAATTTTAGTTAATAAATGGCTACTCGTACATTGAATAACTTCTACTGTGATCTGTTCATATGCAGTGTGCATAGCATCTTATTTAATTATAATAACTATATATGCCTTTGTTATTTTTACATATCTTTAAAACCTGTTTTAGTGATGATTATTATTACTGTAAGAATCATGTATAGATAGGTACCTGTGGGTACACATTAATATTTCATAGAAACACTGGGGACCAGGCTGGAGTTGGAGAAACTGTGTGGCACTAAGATTCATAAGACTCACTTGACTTCCAGTGACACTACTGTTAGGCTTTATTCAAAGCAGTCAAATTATAATTTTGTATCTAACATCAAAAATGATCTTGTAGATGTCATCATGACATCTACAAGACAACTGCTGAGTTGCCATTTCCAATGGTCAAGGGCTAATTTTACTGGACTTATGAACAGTATTTACTATTGTTGATCTGTTTCTTCAGCTTGAAACATGTTTTTTCCCTGGGCCTCCAGTTTACAGGTTTACAGTTTGCCACTCGTGGTTCTTTTCCTGCTTCACTGGCTGTTCCTTTTCAGTCGATTTGCTTTTCATTTTCCTGATTTCTAATGTCGCAGTGTCTGTGGGCTTAGTTCTTGGCCCTCTTTTTTCTCTATCAGCATCCATATACATCAATTTCACAAGTGGCATCTTCTGGTTCCATCTATATACCAGTGGCAAGTGTGTGTGTGTGCATACGCGTGTATATCCTGCACTGACCTCCCTCGTGAACTCTAAACTGCTTTAAACAACTACCTTCTCACAGCTGCGTCTTGGATGTCTGATAGGATTCTGAATTATAATCTGTCAAAGACCAAACAATTGATCATTCTCTCCAAGGCTGATTCTCCCACAATCTTCCTATGACAAAAAGTAACAGGCCTGTTATTCTAGTTGCTTAGGCTTGCAAACCTGGAGATATCCTTGACTTCGTTCTTTTTCTCACCATTAATTCTTCCAAAAATGCTGTTGTATTTACATTCAAAATGCATCCAGAATAGAAATATTTCTTACCATTTCTACCCCTACAGCTGTAGTCCATTATCTCTTACCTGTATTGTTAAAATAGTCTTCTAAGCTGGTCTTTCTGCTCTCTCGACCCTCGATGACAATCCAGAGTAACCTTTAAAAAATCATATTCAAGGCATATCAGTTTCTCTGCTCAAAACCCTCCAGAGGCTTCCTGTCTCATGCAGGGAGTATACAAGGCATATTCCATGGCCTGCAGGGTCACATAATCTACCTTCTATTACCTCACTGATCGTATGACTCCTTTGTAGCCACTGTGGCCTCCTCCTTGTTTCTCAAACGTGACCAGAGAATTCCTTTCTCATGACCCTTGCCCTTGTTCTATGCTCTCCTTGGAGTACGCTTCCCTATCCAGAAGAGAATTTATTTTAGGTCTATATTAAAAGGTAACTTCTTTAATTCCAGCACGTTAGGAGGCTGAGGCAGACAGATCACCTGAGGTTAGGAATTTTAGACCAGCCTGTTCAACATGGCAAGACCTCGTCTCTACTAAAATACCAAAACTAGCTGGGTGTGGTTATAGGGATCTGTAATCCCAGCTACTCCAGAGGTTGAGGCAGGAGAATTGCTTAAACCCAGGAGGCAGAGGTTGCAATGAGCTGAGATCCTGCCACTGCTCTCCAGCCTAGGCAGCACAGCAAGCCTCCATGTTAATAAAATAAAATAATAAAATAAAAAGGGAACTTATATAGACGATTACATCTGCAATTACACCTTCACCTCATCACTCATCATTTATTATTTCTAATAACTCAGCACATCACTCAAAATGCGTGCGTACACACACACACACACACACACAGTAGCAGTTTGTGACAGCTCCATATTTTCTGTTGTTTAGGCCATCAATGTTTATTTTTTTTTTTAATTTATCTTTTTCTCTCTCATACTCTTCATTCAACCCATCAACAAATGATATTGGTTCTGCTTTCAAAAGATACTGATATACAGACAATTAGAAGTAAACCTATACCTCTACGTAAGCTGTTACCACTTCTCACCACATTTGCTGCTGTCATTGTTTTACTTGGGTTATTGCAATTGCATTCTCCCTGACATCTCTACTTATGTCCCTCATCCTTTTTAGTCAATTTACCGCAAAGTAGCTTGAGTGTTCTTACTAAATATGTTAGGTCATGTCGCTCTATTAATGAAAACCCCTAAAAACTTTCCTTTTTTACTCAAAATAAAAGCCACCCTTCTTTTATGAAAAATGAGACTTTATCTGGTCTCCCTGGGCTGTTAATTTCATGAGCTCATTTCCAGTCTCCCTCCACCTTATTCCCCTTACTCCAGCCATGCTGGCTTCTTTGTGTTTCCTTGAACATGGAGGACATATTTCAGCCCCAGAGTCTTTGCACTTGTTTTTCCTCCTCTGTCAGAAAAGGTCTTCCATCGGATATTGAAGGAATTGCTTCCTCCCTTCCTTCAAGGGCTGTGTTCTAGTGTCATCTTCTCAGTAAAGCTTGTCTGGCCAATCTACCCAAATTTCAGTTCCCCCTGAATCTCCTTTCAGTTATTTATTTTTTCTTATATTGAACACACTATAATTATTTACTGATTTACCTTGTTTGTTTTCTCTTTCCTTATCAGATTGGAAGCCCCAGAGGGGCACAGGTTATTTGCCTATTTTTCTTTCTTTTCTATTGTTCTTGATGCTATATTCCCAGTTTTTAGCACTATGACTGGTACATAAGAAGCATTCAATAAAATATTGTTGAAAGAACGAATTGATTGTTGGATATATTTAGGTGCATATTATATTCCTCCTCACTAGAAGGTAAGCTCCATGAATGGAAGACGGAGATTTGGCTGTCTATCACATCTACAGAAATGAAAAGGATGCTTGGAACACTGAAGGATTCAAGAAATATTTGTTAAATTGGTAAACCAACACCATCAACTTGACTTCACTGAGCCACAGTGTCCCCAGATGGAAAATGAGAGGCTTAGACTTGAATCTAGGCACTTACTTATTAGGTGATCTCAAGAAACTTTCCTGTTGTGATACTGTATATCCTCACTGCCTTCTTGTTAGTCATCGACTTCCTGTGGATAGAGCAATCAATAGTAACTAAGATACCAAAATACTGAAACTGCTGTGTCCAAAAAGAAATATTCAGTGATGCAACTGCTCAGCAAATTTCTAAAAAAAGGAACAAAAACAAAAACAAAAAAACCCACAACCATTCCTTGGGATTGTGATTGAAGCAATTGTTGATCTTAGCCATGAAATGCAAAGATCCGATAACACAGCTGAAAATAAACAGAGAGCTTTAACCTAGTCCTTCCTCCAAATGGCACTTGTCTTTCTCAATATTTCTTTAGGAGGCAGTTATACACATATGTATTTATATATACGTACACAGAATATAGCTTTATTAAAGGGTCATCAAAACAAACTCCATATATCTTATTAATTACATCAAGTTAGAACAAATGGGAGCCTGATGGATCTGCTTAAGCTTTTATTTGGGAATTAGTAATCTGGTTAAAAAAATTGTGGCCAGGCTGTACTTAAAAAATACCAACTCCCTGGTTTAATTTCTTTCTTCCCCCTTTGAAACATGCCTTTGTGCAATGTTTGCTCTACTCAAATTGGCTATTTACCGTTTCCCTGGTTTCACTTTCAGGCATTGCATAAGTTTTTCCTTTCTTCTGGGATGCTCTCCCCAAACCTCCTTCCACGAAAATTGTTCTACTTCTTTAGTATTTAGAACTGCAAAGTCCAGTATGGCAGCCACGAGCCACATGTGACTATTTAAATATACATTAACTAAAATGCAATAAAATTTTAGATTTTAAATTACACTAAGTACTCAGTTGCCAGATGTGGTCAATGCCTATAGCCTTAGACCATGCAAATATCAAACATTTCCATCATCACAGAAACTTCAATTAAAATTAAAATGTACTTAGCAAATACGCTTTTTTTTTGTTTCTTCTCCTTGGAGAATAATTTAGAACGTCTCTAATTTCCATATGTCAAGAAATATTGCCATGTCAGATACAAGGCAGATATGCTAAATTAATTAAATTGCAATCCTATTCTTGTCTAATTACTCAATCCAACATTTAATAAAGTCGATCTTCTTTTGCCCTAACAAGATTAGGTATATTCTATTGATTCTGGAAAGTTACTTGCCTCTTCAAATGCTTCTTTTATCATGGTGGATTGACTTACACACTCAGGGTGACAGTAACATGCTAAATTTCATAAGGGTGCCTTGTAAGACAATTAAACTTACATGTGCACGCAATCTGATGAGAAAAATAGAAGGTGGATCCCTAGGGAAATAATAAGCCCCAAGTTGCATCCCTTGGTCCTGAAACTATTTTCATTTCATTACTTCTTCCTTCTTATGCTTAGCTTCCAAGTCATTGAAAAGTATTTTTTTTTTAATGGGAAGAATATACGTGTTTTTGGGAAACAGATTTCACATTGCAATGAGGTATAATGAGTGAGTATATTAGAGTGATTTTGCTTTAACCCCTATTTTATTTTAAAAAAACCTAATTCATTTTAATTTGAAGACCTGCATTAACAGCACAGAATTTCATAAATGGGGGCTCCATAAGAGAAACTGTAGCCTCACTCATGACAAATATTCGAAATGACAAACCCAGGTGAGAAAGTGACATGTTCAAGTCTAGGATGATTTACTATTGTGCTAAGACGTTTTCCATAAGAATAAAAATATATTTACAATTCAAGCAAGTAACTACACAAAGTAATGTGAAGTTTTAAAAAGATCAAATACATACTGTGTTCTTTCTTACATTTCAGGATATACCTAAACAAAGAACTTTTTCCTTTTCCCTTTTTATGCCTTCAATTTGTGTGTATTATATAATTGTCTGCCATTTTAAAATACTTGCTTGAGGGCTATAGCTGTGTTTTAGTTGATTACAAAGAAAAATCATGATAGAACTACAGAATCACAGACAAACTAGCCTACACACTACCACATTGAAAAAAAAAAGCACCTTAGGTAAAGGCCCTTAGAATTTGTATTAATTGCAATGTAGAACCATAAAGACAAAGTGAATGGAAGCACAGAGAAGTTTTGCTGCCACTGATGACTCTTTCCTGACAGATGAGAAGTATTAACATACTTACTGCCTATATCTACTCATTAAGACACGGCTAGTCTAACTACATATGGTATCCTCCATAACTTATCATAATATGTAGAAGTGTTACCTTCAGGCAGCTGATATTATGGGAAACAATTAAATAAAACACTATGGTGCTATCTCTGTGTGTAGAACACAACTGAGGAATTCAAGTATCTGCCACACCCAATGGGGCAGCCAGAATCTGCCTACCCTGCATCCTCATGGCTGAATTTATAGGGTGTGCCATTTAAATTGTAGATTTCATTTGCAGTGGGATGGATGTGAATGCAATGACCTAGCCCTTTACTCATCAATAAAGATTTTTCTGCATCTTTCTCTCACTGAAATATTATTCCTACAGTTTGGATTTCCATACGAATCAACCCTGTAAGGCTATGCAACCAAGACAAACACAGCATGAACATTTCTTTCCTTGTGTGCTTCCACTTCTGAAGCTGACACTAAATAGCAGTACTAGGAATAATGAGAGAAGCTGCAATGGCTGTTGTGGCTTAGAAAAGTGGCTACGTTAAGGGAAAAGCCACAGTACAAGGATCCCAAGATGAATTAAAGAAACAACAGACAAAACAAAATACTAATTAAGAATAGTGACCAGAGACTTGAAGATCCAATGTGTTGTTTATTGAAGGCCACTGTTTAAATCAAAAAAAGAAAGATTTCACCAGTCACTTTGGGCTTAAATGTCATGATATTTGCTGGGTGAAATTTGCCAGATATCATTCTCATGAGAACGTTTTATTATTATCACTGGTTTCAGATTTTTCTCCTAAAGGAACCTGTGCAGAATCATTTGACCTGTGCATATTGAAGGAGTTTAAGTCAAATTTATTCTCTACCTCAAACAATTTTCTATGTTGATGGATATTCAAGAGCTATTACTGCATCCTTAAAGCCCACCAGTGTTGAAGTTTCTCTTAGCCAATTCCCCTACAGAACAATAAACTTCATAGGAAGACTGATACATTTGAACTATAATTTGAGAAATTCAGCTCAGCTCTGGAATCTGGGCCAATGCATTTAATTGAGAACACATTTAAATTTCTTTGATATTTCTTTATAGCAAAGTATAATACCTCAAGGGGAAAACATATTTCATCTAAGTTACGTTAACTTTGTTAAATAAGTAAATAACCACTTACCTGTAATCAAAAGAAAAGGACAAAATATAAGCTACTGGCTCTATCCCCCTTACATCCAGAATAGGCAGTTTCTTTTCCAAATAACTATTTTCTATCAACAATTAGTTATGCCGAATACGTATTTTATGTAGAGGCTATAAGAATTCAGTTTTCCTAGAAAAGTAATTGACACCTGTCTATTTTCAACTCTTGAAAAATTTTCTTGGCTTCCCTTGATTGATGAGAATGTGTACAGACAAAAACAGCACAGCTCCCACCATTACCCTGTTTCCTAAGTTATGGTCATGCATGGCCTGAAATAGAGTTATAATGGCTATAAAGTTCATTACACAAGCTATAGAGTGAAGGAAACTTAGGAATCCTATAGCTGGCTTTGCTTAGCCTAGTGTTTTCAACATGCAAGGAGTTAATTTAAAGGGCTCTTTCTTCTCTCCTGAAGGATAGGGTTTGCATAGTGACACGTGCAGGTGCACATGAAGACTGCTCCACAGGAGAAAACAGTTCCACAGAGTCTCAATATGACAGCAGCATCATTGCCCTCACAGTGAGAAATTTGTTGGCATTGGAGGAGGAGAAAGCGGAGCCATGAGACAAAGTGACCATAATGAAAATGACGAATATAAAATAGGATCATGGTACTATTCTAAGCTGTTCTGAAAAAATACTCATTTTTAAATCTTTCTTTTAGATTATACAGTAGGCTTATGTAAAGTTTCTATAGCATTGAAAACTTGTGCATATTTATTTGATATGTAATTTATTTATTCATCTATGTGTTTATTAAGTGTCCAGGTTGTTCCAAAAAGTATTAACGATAATGAAACAAAATCTAATGGATTTTTTTTAAAGTGAAAAGAGATTGTCAAATAAAAAAAAAGAACTGAAAAGCAGTAAGATAAAGCTAGGGTAATGTAATATTTAAAATTGAAGTTATGACTAGTGGATCACCAACTTGTCTCTGAATTTTTGGTATTCAGTGTAAAAGGAGAAATCTAAGGAATCAAATATTCCTGTAATTCATATGTTTAAAAAATTAAAAATATTACTAAAGAAGAAATTAATTTATATTGTAAAGATTTACACCAGAGAGAAATATATCCTATGAGTCATTATAAAGATATTCCTTTATGATATAAACATTACTGCTTTTATAGGGGATTCTTAGAGCAAATATAATGGGTTACAATCAAGTAATGATTTACTATGCTCCTAGGCTGAGGGTACTAGGCCCAAAATACAACTTATTGAACCCAATTTTATCATCATTCAAAAAGGAAAAAAGAAATCCACAAAATGACATCTGTGTATCTCTTTCTCTATACTTTGAAAGAATTAAAGCATGTACATGTACATGTGCACACAATTTATGGTGAAAAAAATTAAATGAATGATTATACAGGAAATTCTGCGTGGAAAAACATATCCCCTCATCTAGTTACAGTATTAAGATAATATTTCCCTTATGGCATGGTAGGGCATGACCAGGAATGAAGTATAGCAATTTTATGAAATATAATTATGTAGGTGTTATTGACAGAAGAACAGAGAATGTTAACACTCAATGGAGCATATAAAAGACTACCCTACTTTTTTTCCTATTACTCTGATTCTATATATTCAGAATTCTAGAATCTTCATGGATGATGCATCCTTTTGGAGATTTAGCATATCTTCCAAGTTAATATAAAACTTTTTTCTACAATTTTGGACGATGTCTTCTTGAGCACATTCATGTCATTTTTTAAAAAAATTTTTTCTTCTATTTTCTTTTGTTTTTAGAGTCTATTCTTATAAATGAAACAAAAATCTACTTTGTTTTAATATTCGCTCATTGGTCCTGTCTTATTAAAGTTTCACAGATGTACTCTAATCTCTGTTCTATTTAGCAGTCTCTTATATATGCTAAAACACTGAACACATCATTCTTCTCCATGGTTTCACTTGAGAAACTAAATATCCA